TGCTAATTCTATATTTTTTGGACGTTTCAAGACATTGTAAATCGTTTGATACATCCATTTGATGAAAAAACTAGGATAAAGTCGAGTTATATATAATTAGCAGATAAATTTCATGATTATAATTGAAAATCGGTCTGATTACTTTTTCATAAAGATATTCTAATAAACATGGATTCACTAAGAGTAGTTCAATTAAAATTTAAAAATTCCTAAATTTTAACACTTTACACTCGCGAATTCCAAGATTTATTTGAATTTTGCCGCCGGAGCGTCGGCATCCGAGTTGAAAGGGTTAAATTCTTATTGATTGCTTTAAGGCAAAATGCCACTTTCACCTAGTAATTATACTTCTGTGTTTTATGTTTATCATCTCTAATATGATATATATGTTTACGTATACCTATAGCGAAATAACATTATCATTGATGATTATTTATTATCTATGAAGATAAATATATATTTTAATAATTTTGATAAAATGTTCGTGTTGGCTTTAAGTATTAATTTATGCATCACCAAGGTCCGTAATGGGATTTAAAATTTCAAGTTCTGTTGATGCTAATTTTTTTGTTGTTAGTTTTAGTACTAACACTAACGCTTTGGGTGATTAAATTTGATGGTTTTATATAAATATTAATTTATTGAGAAATGAACAAATCTAATCAAATTGGCTAATTAGTAATAAACAAAAATATATAAAAGAGCCTTAAATACTTTTAGTATGATAATACTACAAGAGAGAGATTTTACCATCATTTTCTTATGTACTCGTCTGCAATGCTACACAATGAGGGTATCATTTATAATATAATTATCTTTTAATTTAAGATTATAGAGTTGCAAATGCTAGTGTATCTAAATTTACTAGTGTATCTAAAATAATTAAATTTTGGTTCATTAGTACATCTCTGTTCGCCTCATATCAAATTCTTATCAGTTCTACACCTTTAATCAATGCTCGATACCGCCGTCGAACAATGCCGTACCATTGCTACGATACATTTCAGTTTCTTCTCTCTGCAGTGCGGTTAATAAATCTCTGAAACTAATTACGAGTGCAGTAGCAATTCTTTTTTTACTAAAAGAAAAATAACTTTGGAACAAAATGGCAAGCACAAGACCCCACAGGGAGAACATGACAGACGAACAGATTGCAGAATTCCGTGAAGCTTTTGCTTTGTACGACAAAGACGGAGATGGTGCGATATCAGCCGCCGAATTAGGAACTGTCATGAGGGCTTTGGGTCAAACTCCTTCCGAAGCCGAACTTAAAGGATACGTCAAGGTATGAATAAGTGAATAATGGTATTATTTGATGGAAAATTTACTCATTCTAACATTACTCATTTGCCATATGTGCTGATTACGGAATACTTTATTGATAAGTTTATTTAATCGAATTTAGTCATCGGTTGAGGTATTCATATATGGCAAATGATTATTTGGGAATTTAATAGGATTAAATGGATACATTTAAATTTTATAACAATTGATAAATTTTTGAATCTATCTCAGCTTTAAATTTAAAATTTTATTCTCTTACTCATGAACTGCCATTCATTTAATATAATTTGGGAAAAATACTTTTATGAATTTATTATCATGTTAGGTTGCCATTTGATCGCCTGTACAACCATATTTCTTTTTTAATTTTTTTTTATTTAAAATTTTTACGGTTTTAAATGAGTATAACTTTCAACCTTGTGCAAGAATTTTGAGCTTGACTGGTGGTCAAATAGACTTTAATATGATGAACTTGATGATCAACATTGTATTTAATGTTCGAATGCTTTTTTTCAGCTCTTTTTTTTTCAGAAGCGAAATTCGTGCAGCTACTATGATTATTATAAAATTACTATCCTTTTAATATTAACTATGTATAAGCTTGACAAGAGCCTGAAATAATATCTATTATTATTGACTACGGCTTGCTTATGAATAAATAAATAAATAAATAAATAAATAAATAGGCATGTTAAACAATCATACAATTGAATTATCTGCTATGGAAAGTTTTTATAAAATCAAATTTGGCTAAAGAAAATACAATACATGACTACATATGATCCACATCAACTAATAAATGATTAGCAGTAATCAATTTATGTATAAGATAGTAAAACCTAAAATCCAATTAAAGCAATTAAACAAACATTTTCCTTAAAATTTTCTAGAAGCGTTCTAAATTTTATACAACAAATTTTCAGCATTGCTTCGCTATTAGATCACTATGCACTATTTGTATTAGTTCCATATATTGTTATTTATAATGGAATGGAATTTACATACGATTTCAAACACATTAGCATTAGTGTATGCAACACATTTTACAAAATGTTTGTAAACAATATTGCTAAGTTGGAAAAGTTTCTATAAAATAAAAACATTATTTATAATGCATAATGTAATAACACTATTCACGTCACTCTTCTCGAGTTGTTTAAATTAAATTTGGTCCAAATATGCCATAATTTCAATTGAGAATTCATGTGTTTTAAAATATTTAAAATTAATTATAATGTTTTTTTTCTAATTTAAGGATAATAGCGTGGCCATGACCGTAGATTTTCCAACATTTTTGACAATGATGGCTCGTCAGATGCAGGAAGGCAGCAGTGTTGATGAAATCCGGGAAGCCTTCCGGGTTTTTGATAAAGATGGTAATGGCCGAATGTCTGTTGCGGAATTGAGACACATTTTAACATCTCTTGGAGAACGCTTAACAGATAATGAGGTAAAAATATATTAAATCAACCTGGTTAAAACATATGATAATATAATCTTGAAGTTTTAGAATATAGTTTTGCTGTACTAGTTGTTCGCGTATTTCCAAGTTGTTTATTAAGTTTAACATAATTAGATGGCAGTCGTTCTTGGAATCAACAACATATTTCCGGAAAATACATATAAATACTGAATTACATTTAAAAAAAAAAGTACATATGCGAATCATGAATGATATTTGCTTCATAAAATTGTACGCGGATGTTTTATTTGGACAATAACAATTTCCAAGATATTTATATTTTTCCAAACAGAACGTGATATATTGTGTAAAACAAGTATTGTTTACAATTTGACCTTTTTGATGTTTTGGATTAAATACGTCATAAATACGTAATTATTGGTAATGAACATAAGAACATCAGTTTAAAAACTGTAATACGTGTGAAGGATGAAAATAAAATTGTTTATAATTCATCACTTATTTATTGAAATAAGTAAATAAAACTGCTGAGTCACCACTTATGTATTTTGCTTAGTTTGTATGTAATAAAACAAAAATATTAACAGTATATCTATAACGTTTTTTTAACATAATAACTTACTGATTTTATAATATTCTACACATGTTTAGAGTTTGGGGTTTTTGAAATCTGTATGTATGTAACTATAGTTAATTGACAAGTATTTTTAAGGAGCAGCTATGCTAAAAATACTAATGCTAAATTAGTTTATAGTTTAATTTAAATACCATTTGCAACAATAAATAAAACATATAAAAGCATACATATAAATTAAATTAAAATTACAATCGTTTTTGAAATATTTATTTTATGAACTATTTTTTGCAGGTGGACGCAATGATCCGAGAATTTATTCAAGCAATGACGATGAGTTCATAATATAAAAATAAATAAATAAATATGTTAATAGATATATTAAAATAGCCTTTGTTCATTGTTTCAATTTTTAATATATATAAATATATGAATATATATCTTTATACCTCCACCAAATATTTATAATTTAATAATATTGTTTAATGTTATTTCAATTAAAGTTATAACATAAAAGTTGAAATTTAATTATTCGTTTTATTACAATTAAAATTTTGTACATTATTTTTACACTTATTTAAAAGAAGCAATTTATATTTTTTTTTTGATTTTTTAAATTATTATTTGGTTATTAATGTTAAAAGCATTGTTAATAGTATTTGTTTAATTTCAGATTACTTGAAATAATATTTTATTATATTTATAAATATAAATCATTTTCGCTCGCTTTTTCAAATAAAAGTTACGTTGTGAACATCGTGCAAGTGACAAGTCTGACATTCCATTATGGCAGGCATATTTTTGGCATTTGTTATTTGTGGCATGTGCTCCGAACAGTGCGCTTATTAACCAATAACTATTTAATAAATTCGTTCATAAATTATGTAAGTAAACATGTGAAATATAGATCAATTTAAAATTCGACACTAGATATAAATTTTGCTTACTTGTCTTTAGATAAATTCACTTTTACTATGTCTGGTCGAGAAGGCGGCAAGAAAAAACCATTAAAAGCAGCAAAAAAACAAGATAAAGAATTAGATGACGATGATCTAGCCCATAAGCAAAAGATGAAAGAGCAACAAAAGGCTTTACAAGAAGCTAAAGCTAAGGCTTCTCAAAAAGGACCACTTGTTGGAGGTGGTATCAAGAAGTCGGGCAAAAAATAATGCATTTTTTAATTCTATTTACATAATCATTAAATCAATTGTACAGACCATAAATACATTCTTTTAATTTATAGATTGTGTTTTTGTACAAGTTCTTTCGTGATTTATACATCGAAGGGCAATAATAGAAAGTGTCTTAATCGGTAGTTCAAATATGATTTATAAATATTTGGTTGCAGTATTTTCATAACCCAATATACATAGATAAAAGAAAAGTCAATATATTATGCCAATATATTACCTTCTTTAATAAAATTTTAACATATATTTGTGCTCAATGGATGTCTTGTGCTTAGCAAACATTTTACCTCGTATATCAATAATAATGTTTATTCAAATTAATATGTTAAAATCTGAATTTGAAAATTTCAAATAAATTCAGAGCTAATTGAACTCATCTGTCAACTTCAAAGTCAATTAATTATATTAATGCTTTTTGTATTATTAAGTTTCCATTACTTGTTCATTAGTATAAAGTTGTTAATTACTTAACTCCTTAGTGAAACCACAATTCACACAATAAATCATTGTAATGACTATTATTGTCGTTGAGATTTCAAATATAAATGAGTTAGCTAACCACTACTTCAAATAAAATTGTCTCTTTAAAGCTTTGTTGTTTATGCGTCATATGTGTTTTGGCCAATTGCAATTTTCAAGTGTCATCACATAACCTCCAAATCTATTGTGTACGTTTTCTGTAGCATTGCATTGCATTGACAAAGTTTTGTACGGAATTAATATTGCGCATCTTAAGAATGGCGTTATTTAAATATCAGGAGAATTTAATGAATCAAGACACAAGAACTGAAGCTCTGAATGATATTAAACAACAACTAGTTAGTGCAAGAGGCACTGACATTGCAGAATATGCTCATAGCATCAAGATTCCTCTGCTTTTTGAATGCTTGGAAAACGATGAGTGAGTTTTGTATTTAGCTATGTACAACATCACTTTTAAAAGCAACTTTAATATCTGTAATTGTGATGAAATATTCTTATAGTTTATATTTAAAATTGAAAGTGAGTTAACTCACTTGATTCAATCTTTGATCTATATACCATGTTGTTTGTGATTTTATATTATAAAAATGATAATATATAAAAAGTTGATTATTAGTATTGAGTATTATCAATGATTGCTCACGGTTTAGTACATCTTTTCTTTATAAAGTTAAACACTGTGCTTAAACACATCAATAATTATGTCTACTGATCTCGACTTGATATGATCATAAATTTTAGTATAATCACATGATCGTATCAATCCTTGTGGGGTTCGATAACAAATTGTACATATGTAATAAATCAAATAAATAAATAAAGTACATAAATTTATAGGAATGAGGAACAAATTGATCTGGCCTGTGAAATCTTAACAATTTGTATGGAAAACTTATCATTAGGAGAGAGTTTGGTAAAGTATCCTGGTTCATTAGAAAAGTCACTAACACACAAATATGACATTGTTCGTCAAATGTCTTTGAAAGAGGTAATGTTTTCAAAGTACTAATTTTAAATATAAATAAATGAAGAGTTTTATTAAAAACTAATAATACTTTGTTATTTCATTACTCATATGAAATCGAAAATATATTTGAAAAATTATTCCTATTAAGTCTGCTTACAATTAGTATATGCAATATTAACGAGTTTGTATTAGGATGTTATACAAATGAGTTATGTTTTAGATTCTAAGAGCAGCTGAAATCGATGGTAATTATTTCAATGATGTATCTCGAGAGAATCTCTCATTGCAAAAATCGTAGATTGTGTGGGACATGATAATTTAAGTGTAGCACATGTTGCCGTAAATATTCTATGTTTAATAATAATGCCGTGGATAAGTAATCACCAGATATTATCTGGTTTGCAAAATGTTATGAACCGTGGTGAAATTCAAAGATTTAGAGTTTATGAGGTAGTATATTATTTTGTCTTGCATTTAATATACTGAACTATATTAATTTTATAATTTTGATAGATACTGATACAGTTGGCAACAAAATCTAAAGATAATTTCAATAAAATCGAATCTACATCATTCTTAGCAAAAATGTTAAGTGAATTAGATTTAAAAGATGAATTAGTACAATTAAATGTTATTGAGTTGCTAACACAATTAGCTATGTCTGACCACGGTTTTAATTACTTAGAGAATAAAGGCATATTTAAACATTTTGCTGTACAAGTGGAAAATATAGATCAAAATCCATTGAGTCCTCTAATTTTACCAGGTATCTAATTTACTTTTTTAATAATGAGGACTTTTTAAAGCCTGATGTTATTATGAAATAATCTTTTAGGATTGTTAAAATTCTTTGGTCGAGTTGCTCATACCAGACCGACATCTATGTTGACTCAATATAAGAACATTCTTTCAAAAATTTTTGATATTGTTCAAAATAGCTATGATGATGAAACATTGCTACTTGTATCATTGGATACTATAGGATATTTAGGTGCAACAAGAGACGGCAAATTTGCTTTAAATAATAACGTATGTTTAAAGATGCTATAATACAAAAAAACCAAATTCTTGATCAATTTTTTAATTATTCAAATTATGCAGATGAAAATATGGTTGCCACATTGAAGAAAATTGGATTTTATATTCATAGCGGATCAACCGAAATTAGGATTCGAGCATTGGATTGTTTAAAACATTTAGTTGAAATTGATCCAAGTGATACGAATAATGAAATACAATCTATTACACAAAAATGGTTTAACACATTGTGTGAAAACCCAGTTGACTTCATTTTCAATGTTTGTAGAAAACCATTCCCGGATATTAAATTGGCAGCGTTGGGTATTTTGAAAGTTATTGCTTGTCAATTATGGGGTGCAGATTTGATTGTAAATAATCCAGGTAATAATTTCTTTGGAAGATGTGTTTAACAAATTATTATTTTATTATATCTTGCTTCAGGTATCATAGAATATTTGCTAGACAGACGAACAGAGAACTTTAAAGATGGAAAACAAGCAAAGTTTGACATAATTTTTGCATTAAATCAAATTCCTGATTTAGATTTAGAATTGAGACAAAGACTGCAGTTGTATATTGCTGAAGGACCATTTTATGTTGAAGCTGTTACAGACATTGCCATTGAGGGAGAATAAATCATGTTTATAGCATCATATTTTGAATAATGTTAAATTATTAAAAATAAATATTTTGTAATATTTTTTTTTATTTGATAATTATTAATCAATACACCATATAAATAAAAATGTATCTTTATTCATATACATATTTATGATAACATTATATGATATAATCAAATCTTACAAAATCGTAAATTATCTTATTACAACAAAAACGTATCACAATCATTCTCACACCTTTGGTATTTAGTATATATATATTTATATAGTTATTTTATTTTTTTAACATTAATTTGATAATGGACAAAATGCAACATATCGACAATATTGTATATGACTGTAGTTTCTGGACGGCCAAACTTTGAACAGCTGCTGGTAATCCTGCTGCAAATCAAATTTAGAAATATAAATTTGAAAATACTTATAATAAATATGTAATAAACAATTACTCTAAATTTATATTAATTTAAATTTTTATTCTTGTTTTTTTTTCAAGTGCTGCAAAATAAAAAAAAATGTTTGCGCTCCATTAAGTTGGCAACAATTGCGGTTTATATATTTTTAAATTGATATTCCGTCTCAAAGGTCATAAATCGTTTTCTAATAATAAAAATGCAATAATATTCAATTGTAATAATAATATATATCTATAATAAGCAAAATATAAATTGTTTTCGAATTGTAGTGAAACTGCACGTTCAAGTAAGAATCGTAGTAACAAATTATTGCAACTGTCATTATAAGTTGTCGATGATGGAATCTGATTGGATTGTTGTCAAGTTCACATTATTTTAATGTCAGTCATCAACCATTGCTGTAATTGTTTCATCATAAAATTTATCCTAAAATGTGCAGAGATTAAATAAATTAAAGTGCAATTGTTTATTTTTTAGTGTTTGCAACATGTGCGTTAGAAATTTGTGTCAGAAATTAATATAAACTTACCATCCACAACATGAACTCGTATCGTTGCATTAGGAGCATTGGAAGGCGTGCAACTATAGACCCCAGAAGTCGCTCCCAATTGCCTGTTGAA